CATGTTACAGTATGTAAGTAATTTGAAAATTACATGATCGTAAGTTTAATGACGTTTTTTTAACATTTGTCAATTTTCATTAATTTAAAAAAAATGATTGCTTCTAAAGAAAGCATTAAATGTATTATAGATCTCAATAAAAAGTAGATATGTATGTATTATAAAGAAAATTTAACTAATCTTGAGACACAAGGACATAATTTTGTTTCATATGATGATAAATGTAGTTGTTTCTAACAATTTTAGTTAACAAATAATCTAATTCCCATAAAATTTAATTTGATTTTATTACAGTTTATACTATTTACATTACTTTAAACCAAATATAATCCTGTCAATAATAAATATAAAAATTATTTGTAATGACCATTAAAAAGTTAACAACTCCATAATGGTCAGTTTTAGAAACTGTTTTATAACATTTAAAATTTTTATTTATTCCATGTAGCTTTTTTAAGAGAAAGTTAAAAAATAAATGTAAATATTTGCTCTGGATACTGACAAAGATGGTACAATAAAAGAGATCTCCCGCATGACACCTCGAAAAACAAAATGTCATAAAACTAACTACATAAATGTGAAAAATTGTAACACAAAAAATTCTGGGATTCTTAATACACTGAAAATATTTATATTTGAATACTTTTAGGAGCAAAATATTACAATTTTTTTTATTGTTTTTTATATAAAAATAAAAAATATTAATTGAACTTTAACAAAGATAACAGATTGAAGATAGTACAGTTGGTAATGGGTGATCAATGTCAACCAATTTTCATAAAATGTCTAAGTAATGTCTTGGAACTAATGTCTGAGCAGTTCAATGTTGTCCTAATTTTATGGTAACCAGTAAAATCCAGAGAAAAAAAATCATTTAACGACTTCGAAAATCTATTTCTCGATTTTTAACTGCACTTTTAATGCTAAATTTCTTATTTTTGTGTATATTTTCAGAGTGTATCGTAAAAGAAGTAATAAATATAAAAAAATAAAATCATAAATTCGTTACAAACGACTGTCAAACTAAACAACAACAAAAAATGTTTGTTGAATAAACAAATATGTACATAAAAGTTTGTTAAAATTAAAAGTTGTTTGTCAAAACGAATCAACATTACCCTACAAAACTGTATTACTTTTATGCTTTTAAAACTATTTTATTTATATTCAAATCAATCAAACTCAATTTACCGAGGATACCGACAATTCACAGTATCTGTACAGAATCGAACCCACAATCCTCAGATGAATAGTTTTGGTACTCAGAGTTAACATATGTATATTTTAAGTAATTTATACTTATGACTGTTATTATAAATTAGTTTCGAAATAATCAAAACTGACCGTTTGCCCAATATGCCAAAATTTTAGTATATACCTTAAAAAACAGCATTTTTATCAAAAATTTCCATAAAACAGTCATACATTTACATTACTATACAGCATTGCCACAAACACAAGTTGAAAAAAGATGGTGTAAAAAGTGTGATTTCCCGCTGGGTAACAACTCGCAACACTGACCATCAAATACTTCGGGTGATGTGGTTGGTGGTTACAAAAACATATAAATATTAAAATAACAACAGCAAAAAACAAATAAACTTTTGACAGTTTGTTGTCCAAAAGCTGCGTTGTTTGTTCTATTTTACATTGCACAACTTTTTTCGCATTTAAAAACAGGCAGCGGACGGACACACAGACCAAAAAAAACAAACAGCACTTAGGTGGAGCTTTAAAAGTCTCATTTGGTGGCAACATTTTAGCCTGAAGCAATCAAGCACCTGTGATGTTGTTAGTGGCCAACAACATCATCATCATGAAGAGATGGCGCATTTGGGGAAACAAAAAACATTAATATTTCCATACATACCACTGGAACAAATATTTAAAGATCATACTAAAATGCCAAAAACAAACAAATAAATAAAAATTTCAAGTCTCTTTGGAAGCTAAATGTCATGATAAGCTAACGAATGGTTTTAGTTTTTTATGTTAACCAAAGACATTTGGTTTTTTATGATTAAAAACAAAACAAAAAATATTTCATTTTTGTTGTTTTTTTTTAAGTAACAGCAATTTATGACAAATGTTTTCAAAAGATGACATGTTAAATAATAAATAGCACGAAAATTAAATTATCCTTAAACAAACGTTTAACTTTAAGTTTATGCATGAATGAGTATTTTTTCAATAATACTTTTCGCACCTTTGAAAAATAAAAATTGGATCAAAACAAAAAAAAAACACAGTTTTTTTGTTAATAAGCAGTTAGAAATAAACTAAACAAAAAAAAAAACAATCGATCAATTGTGGTTTTACACACAAATAAAAAATATATACCGTTAAACTGAACTACATTCTTTGTGCTAAAAGGACACCACTTTAAATCCCCTATTAACTGTCAATTTTATGTATTCTATATCTGTTTGTGGTTTAATCATTTGACTTTTCATGGATGCCATATGTTAGGCTCAAATGTCAATATGAAATTTACTTTTTATCGATTTAACATTTCATGCCTCAAAGAAGTACATAATTCCAACATACACTCCGTTAAAGCCTTTCTTCCTGTTGAGAGCCCAAATACAAGAACAAGAAACCTATACGACAATTTCTGTTTTTTACGAGTATTAAAATGATCATGTTTTACTTTTCATATAAGAAAAAAAACTTAAATAAATCAAATAATTTGCTGTGTATTGACCCTGACTGGTGGCCATAATACGATTAAGGCTTTCAGTAATATTGTTATTAATATTATTTTACTCATAACATTGCAATTTATAATGAATAAATTACTTGTTTTTCATTTCTATGCAGATTAATGCTGCGAAAACAATATACAAATAAACGGGTGCACACATGTATGGGGCATGCAACAAATGTAACAGCGGATGTTGCCAATCAAAACGGAAATTAAGATTAGATACAACAAATTAATGCCTTCAATTTTACATGGCTTAACGCAAGTTTACAATTGGAAATGTGTGAGATAAGATAAGATTTAATTAAATTGTTTTACATATTAACTCTAACTGTGAATGAACAACCACACCGTTTCTAATTATAGTTCCTAAGTTTTTAATTATATTTCAAAGATATCAGGTTTCTTTTAGAAATTTGGGAAATATAGTTGGAGTTTTTCTCAAAAATATAAATATTTCTGAAATATGATTGGAAATGGTGTAGTACATAACTAGTCAATAGTACCATTTAAATGTTCTTCAAAGTCATGTGCGAAAAACAAGAATTCATATACAAAAGATTATACTGGAAAACGTTTTAAATATTTATATATAAAAAAAAAAACAATCTTACCTGTTATTTTCTGCCTTATATGATTTGGATGAATTATTTTAAATTACTTTCGATTACACAATAACTCTTTAAAGGCTCTCTTAATTTGATAAAAATATATATACAAATTACTTCTGACCCTTCACTTCAGAAAAAATAATAAATAAAACCTATTCTGCATTTTGTTTTCGGTTCCTAATTCAGTTACACAACGATTGAAAAAGGATATTCTAACAATAAACACAACCGTAAGAAAAATTAGCAAATCCATTTCTTTTCAATACGATCTTAGCTACATTTGTTCAAGTTGTTATTTTAATGACAGAGAGCCGAATAGATTGGGAACTAAAGTCAATTTGCCTTTATATACCCGGCTATAACAAAAAATCAAATTCGGTATTTTACCATGTTAAGTTGTTCTAAAAAATGTAAAATTGTATCATACATACTTACATTCGTTGGTATAATTGAAATTTTTTATTAATTTTCATAAAGAAGGATGTAAAACTTTCATTGAAAAGAAAAAAAACTAGCTCCGGGGATGGTTGCACAATAACTTTGGCAGTAGTGGACAACGTAAACAAATTTGCATTGAGGGCATCAAAGTCGCTAAATGGAATTCCCAGAAATAATTAGCATTTGCACAAAATGTGAACTAAGTAGCTCATCTGGAAGAAAACAGAACTCCGGCCCCGGTAAAACAACATATTTTACTATGTGAGACACCAGCAACAAGTGGCTTTAAGAATACTAAGCAAATTAAGAGAGCCTCTTGCAGTAAAGTGTTTTCTTATTGTAACAATTAGCTTTACACTCATTTAACACATTTTACGTCCATTTGATTGTAATATTAAACACAATTCGATAAGAAATTAACAAATTACCAAATTTTTACAAACATTTCTTAATGTAAAAGTTTTTGTTTTTTTTTTTTTTCATCTTTAAATTGTTTCTATTGTGTCTAATTTAAGCTTTTTTCGCTTTCCACACAAACGTCTTAACACTTGCTTTCCACATTTATTTATTTCACTTTACTACACTATCTTAAATTTTACTTTTTTTCAATTTCCTTCTAATTAGAAAATTTTCACTGATTGATTGAATTTTGTTGTAAAAAGGCGCACTTGATGGAAGTTTGTTTACAAAAAATAGGCAGAGTTGCAAAAAGATGAATATTATGCTGCCAGATCTAAGAAATTTTGTTTACTACAAAATGTGCTACCAGATTCTCGATTTTTTAAACTTCAAAATATAACGGCAGATTTTTTGAAAAATTATGATGATGCCAGATTGATACTTTCGTCGAAGTAAAACGGAAACGGAACAAGTTTTGGAGGAAAAGGAAAGGTATGGAAATTTTGAGGAAGGATGCCAGATAGTAATATTATTTTAAAAATAGGTGCAAAGATACATTCATAAATATAGTACTGCAGCAAGCAATACATATAATAAATGTTATAAATACACAAATTAACTGCTTGTAGCAATGTAATAACAATCTTACAATTTTTTTATAAATTAATATAAATAATTAAAAAAAATATAAAATCAGTAATGTACTTTTTTATAATTTTATAATTACATTAATTTTCTTTATTTATAGATAAAATTCATTCGTTTTTTATAGAAAAAAAAAATAATAAAAAAGATTTAACAATTTTTAATTCAAATGGACCATATAACAACAAAAATAAATTAATGTCTTTGGTTTTCAACAATTTTTACACCAAACTTTATTTTGCTTAAAATTATATTTGCCAGTTTACAAAATAAATATTAGTTTTTGCCATCAAACGAAGCAAAAGACAGACTAGAACCAGTCAAAGGGGTTTGGGAGGTAGGATTTGATGAAGTGGATGGTACAGGATCAAAGGCACGATTATCTTCCAATATAATGGTAGTATGTGGATAATGATCTAATTGCACAAATAAATAGCGATATTCCATTTTGCCGGAGGGAGCCTGAAAATTTAAGAAAATTAAATATTAATACATATTACGTTTTTATAAAAAAAACATATTTTTGAATTATTTCAATTAAAATATATCGCATATGTTCAGCATGCACAAATTAGTAAGAAAACTTGTTTTGCAACAAAATACATATTATTAAAATTTCTGTCACTAATGCGGAATTGTTTGCTGGATATTTTACCATCAAATTTTCATACAAATTATAGATAGTGACTATTGAATATAGTCCCACGATGTAAAAAAAAACATTATAATTTTCAAACTCTTTTAACTCTCTCACCCTTCTTGATTCCAAATGTACTGTAGCTTTATTCCGAATGCCTTGCACATAGAAACGCATGCGTATATGAGGCACACCATTACGTTCAAAACTGCTATGAGCCACATGTTGGCGACGGCCGCGGCGAGATTCTTCACCAAAGCCTTTAATAGGAGCCCCCAATGAGTCTTGAACACGGGGATCCTATAAAAAACAAAAATAGTTTCAAGTTTAATAAAAACTACAAAAATATGATTTAAATATGAAATCCACTTGCCTCAATAACCCTTTCTAATGCATCTGAGTATATATTGTTTGGACTAGAGCTGCTAAACAACTCGCGAAATATGGCCCAAAACATAACCGCTGTCACACCAACCCCAGCCAATATGATGGCTGTGTAACTTGCCGTCTTGGTAGTTTCTTTGATTTTTTCTCCCAATGGTCTGACATCGGTGGACACGTCTGTACGCCCAGCTCCACTTTTACTTAGTTGCAATTCCTGACCGGTTTCTGATCGCTTGGCTTTTTGTTGCCAAACTGCACATTGACTAATTTTTTTAATTTGTTGCAGTTGAAAGAGATGTTTCAATTGCAAATGTTGTTGCTTTTGTAAAACTTGACGTAATAATATTAATTGTGACATTTTACTACCGGTATTTTTCCTATTTTCTTCAAATTATTCAATTATTTACTAAAAACGAGCAAAATAACCAAAAACATAATTTGAACAAGTAAAATATACAGCTGTTTGTCATATGTTTAACAGCTGTCTGAAAAGTGCGAAAAAATACGACCTTGCCTATAAATATTTTCTGCCAATAGATGGCATGAACATGCAATGAAAAACTTTAACCTTCTTGTCTATACCTGAGCAGATTTCACGTTCTCTATCATCATACATTTTATGGATGAATGGATTTATTTTTTACATTTCTAGTGTATTTTTTATTACAACATTCATAAATAAATTTATAGAATCAGAATACATTTTTTTTACATAATGTAAAATTGACTTTGTAAAATTTTGACTTCTCTTTAAGAAGATAAAATCAACAAATTGTCTTAGGGTATAATTAAAATTCGTTAATTATTGGCAGCTTTAAATGTGTTTCCATTAATTAATAGGGAAAAATTAAAATTATTAATTTAAAATATTTGGTCAACACTAACATTTTGAAATTTGTTATTTATTTACTTACTTTTACTTCATATACAGTCAAACCCGTTTATATCGAACTCCGAGAGTCCAGTAAAATTTGTTCGTTATATTTCCTGAAAAATTTTAATTTTTTTTAACAAAGTTAAATTTTAATAATTTCTTAAAATAAATACATAAGTACAAATAAAATAGTAGAAGTAAGAAGATGAAGAAGAAAAAACTATAGCATATTTTTAGGATTGTCAAATATTTCAATAACGTCATAACGGAATTTGTGGTGAATTTATTTTTTATTCAACATGAATTTTTATTCACCACGGATATTTTATTCACCATAACTTGTTTGTTGTGTCATCACTATCAACTATTTCTTATTATCGGCTGTTTATCATCACTAACAAATAAATCAATGTTTCTGCCATTTAAACGTTGTCAATTTGGAGAGTTTTTTTTGAGTTAGGCAAACAAAAAAGTCGGTCAGTCGACGCACCGACTTTTTTGTTTGCCTAACTTTTTACTTGACAAAAAATCTATTTGAATTGGCTGCAACTCTTTGATTTGCTAAATTTTTTTTTGCTTAATTAATTAAATTGTTATCATAATAAAAAAATTATCAGTCATAGTTATGATAAAGTTTTCAGAACAAGTAATTTATTGTACACTAACTTTGTGTCTTTTTTCAGCAAACGTTCGTCATTTTATTTCCTTATTGTAAAATTTGAAATTTGTTTTCTGAAATAAATTAAAATTGATTTTTTACATATATAAATAAGTTTTAGATGTATTGTGATGCATGAAACCTGAAGCGTAGAATTGGAAGTAGGTATGAAAAGCATGTAATGCTTTGATGCGTGGACCTATAACTTAACAGTTGTTCAACCGACGTTTTGTTAAAAGTTATGTGATAAAAATATGTGTCAAATCTGAATACGGTATTATAATGTGTAAAAAACATATGTAGTTATAAAAGTGATGCCAACTTTTTATTCTTCAAAATACATATATGTATAAAATTTCTAGAGAGTCAGTCAGCATAGATTAGGGTTCTATAAATCGACTTTCGAATAATCGAACAATCGACTTTTTGTCGAAAAAAGTCGAAAAGTCGAAGTCGACTATTTTGTTCCAAAAAAGTCGATAACTCGACTATTTTGTTCCAAAAAAGTCGATAACTCGACGATGGTCCGTGAAAAAATTCGACTTTGTTAATAAAAGTCGAAAAAAGTCGAAAAGTCGAAAAAAGTCGATAAGTCGAAAAAAGTCGATAAGTCTAAAAAAGTCGAATAAAGTCGAAAAAAGTCGAAGAAAGTCGAAAAAAGTCGAAAAGTCGTAAAAAGTCGAAAAAAGTCGAAAACTCGAAAATTGTAGGAACAAGTCAAAAATAGTCGAAAATCTTAAAAAAAGTGGAAAAAAGTCAAAAACCCTAAAATAGTCGGAAAAACTCGAAAAAAGTCAAAAAATAGTCGAAAAAAATCGAAAGAAGTCGAAAATAGTCAAAAAGTCTAAACAATCGAAAAGTCGGAAAAAGTCGAAAAAAGTCGAAAAGCCGAAAAAAGTCGAAAAAATTCGAAAAGTCGAAAAAAGTCGAAAAAAGTCGAAAAGTCGACTATTTATAAAATACCTTTAGTCGAAAAGTCGACTTTTAATTAAATGAAAAAAGTCGAAAAATCGACTTTTCATAAAATGCAAAAAGTCGAGAAGTCGAAAAGTCGACTTTTAACTAAATGAAAAAAGTTGAAAAGTCGAAAAGTCGAAAAGTCGACTTTTCGTTTCAACTATAGAACCCTAGCATAGATACTAAATAGTTTCATACAGTCCTCTAATTTAAATCCTATATTGCACCAATAGTCGAATTGGTGATTTAAAATTAATCAATTAATTAAAATCTCCATGTTTTTTTTTTGCTAAATATTAAAAACAAACAACTATCTTTTCAAAAAAAATAGTCGAATTGGTGATTTAAAATTAATCAATTAATTAAAATCTCCATGTTTTTTTTTTTTTTTTTTTTTTGCTAAATATTAAAAACAAACAACTATCTTTTCAAAAAAAATTCAATAGTGGAAAAGTAAACATTTTTTTCTACCTTCCAGTTTGTATTTTATCAAATATCCCAAGTAATTAAAATTAATTGTTAATTTTGGCCTTTTACGAAAAAATTCCATTTCTTTGATTTTGTGTCGTTTAGAAATTGAAAAGTTGACAACACTATAGTTGGTTGGTTTTGCGGAGGTATTCATCTAAGATGATGTCATTCAAAAACCTGATTAATTTTTGCTTCTTATTAGGTACTAACTTCTGTCAGAGAGGGTTTTTTGTATTACAATATTTTCAAAATTAATACTTAATGGAAACATTTAAAATCTTTTATGCAAATAAAATTATAAAATAAGCATGTAATATTTTGGTTTTTATACACATTTTTTATTTAAAAAAAAACGTATACACCAAACAGCTGTTTTTGACATTATTTAGTACAATAATTTCTGAACGTGCTACCACCTTATTTCATTGCATTTTGCTGCGCAGGTTGCGCTGCCTAGTCGCTACTGCAACAACAAATACTTTTTTATTCGAAATATCTCACCATCATTGTTGTGGAGACGGTCGACGGTTGACGACGCGACGTATATTGCTTTTTCATAATTTTTTGTGTGTGTGCTAAAAACACTTTTATTTTTTGCAAAAAATAAAAAGATATTTTTACATTATTTAACAACAAAGCAAATAAACCAATTATTGAGAAAATTAATTATAACAACAAAACGTAATTAACGAAAATGTAATAACTACTAAATAAATGGTTGAAAAGTTAGTGTAAAAAAGCAAAGAATGTGGGAAAAGTCAAGAAGAAAGAATATTTTTTACTTTGCGTATGTTCAGTGCAGTGGAAAATTCAATAAAACGCATTAGTAGCAACAACAAAAAAAAGTAAAAAAGAAAATTTGTTTGTACCCATATACAAACGTTTGTACAATAGGTTGTGTGTGTTTGTGTGAAAAAATTGCAAAACAGAAAAAACGAAAGCAAAAGAAAAAATATATATATTTTATTTTTTCGCTAAACATAAGTTTTAATATTAAGAAGAGAAAAATAAAACCGAAAAATTGTAGAAATAGATAAAAAGGCAAAAAAATAAAAAAGAATAGTTTGTTGTGTGGCAAAAACAACAAACAAAACGAAAAAAGAGGCTTCCTCAGCATTTCGCAGCATTTTCTTATTAAGATTTTTATTTCTTTATTTTAAATATCTTCTAGTTGTTGGCGTTGCTATTCTATGTTCTTTTTTATTCCTTCTTTGCTTTGAGTTTCCTGCAATTACGACGCTTTCTTTCTTCATTTCGGTACTTTTATATTTTTACAAAACCAATAACAAGATACACATAAACACACAAACAACGTAAATAAATGGGGGAACAACAACAATAATAACAAAATCTAATTCAGCAGCCTCCTACAAATATAAAACAACAACAACATCAAATGTATACAAATGTCAAACAAACAACAATAAAAACAACGACAACACTGAGTAAATGATAAACAAGAATCGACATCCAAAGAAAAATTAAAAACAACAACAAAATAAACAATATCAATTTGAAAAAAATAATTATTTTTGAAATAAACAAACAAAAAATGAAATAAATCATACGACAAAGAAAGATGCAGTTATTGAATAATTGTCAATTTGTACTGACGTATCATCATTATTCTTATCAAAACGCAAAACGTTACAAAACGCCTTCTAATACTTCCAGACGATAAATAGCATAAAAATTCAAGTTTTCGAAATAATTAACATTAAACTAAATAAAACAATTCTAACATATCCATCCAATATACACAATAAAACTATAAGAATTCGGACTAATAAGATTACTTTGCTGCTGCACCATCAAAGAATCAATTTGCAAACATGGATTGGATAATTAACGATGAAATGGGTTTGACCGTTGGTCATGTTGTTGGTTGGGCTGCCGCTTCTGCCATGGTCATTGGCGGTGTCATTCCCTACGTACCACAATATCTGGAAATCAAAAAGACCCAGGATGCCGAGGGCTTCTCTTTGCATGTTTGTTTTGCCCTGCTAATTGCCAATTCATTGCGTATATTATTTTGGTAAGTCACTTTTTACAAAACATAAAATCGCTTTTTATTATTATTTCCAACGAAAGATGATAATAGTATTAAACTGTAGGTATTTATTTAGTTCTATTAAAACACAAATTACCTAGTCATTTTATAATTAGATCATAAAAAATAATGCTTTTTATAATCAACTAGACTGTCGTCCTCTTATCAATTTGTACACTGAATTCCACAAAAGCACTTTTGAAAAGCACAATTGAAGACCTCAATAATAAGTAAGATATTATAGTTGGTCGATAATATACGACCTCATAATAGCCTACAACATAAGAAATCAGAAATGATCTTTATATTCTCTAGTTAATATACAAATACACATATTTCATATTTGTTTTCTTTTAAATTGTTTTGACATTGATTATATGGTTTTATATACTTTTATTCTTTCAAAATAGATTGTTTAAAAATATGTATAACAGATATCGATAACCAAGTTT